ATATTAATTAATATAATTTGTAAAAAGCAAAACACATTCATTTATTATCATTTATATGTTTTTATTTAATTAATTAAATTTTTTGACAAATTGATTTTTTTGTCATTATATTGATCAATCATATAATTTTTCCGAAATACTTTTGTATAAAACAAAGAAAAATTACACTTTATCGATTTCGAGGAGTTAAAATACTTGAAAAATATATTATTATACAATAATAAATAATATATAATTAATTATGTATTCAAATCATCAAAACATGAGAATACTAATTATCAATATTTAAACATAAGTTATAAATTATAATATATTATGGTGAAAAAAAAATTTTTTTTTAATGCAGTTACACCAATTTATCATTTTTAAACAATAAACAAATTGTGCATAAAATATTTATGTGTATTTTGTCTTAAGTAGATTTATTAGTTTTGATTCAAATTTAGCTAAAGTATTCCCAAGGTTAATTCTGTCCTTAAATGCTTTTAATATAATCAATATACATTGTACTTATAGGTATTATAGTAGTTTGGAAGGTATGCTATTTTTGTATTTAAGATTATTGTTGATGAATTATTTATTTATTTTAGTTTTTTATATGCGGAATAACGAAATGAATATCGGTTTGTAAAATTTAATTTTTATTTATAGATTACACTTTTTGGTTTATTTAAATATTTCATTTTTAAATAATAATATATATATACTGCTACAACATTTAATTATTTCAGGATCAATGACGACTTTATGAATGACATATTATTATAAAGTACGATTTTCTTGATATTATAGATTATTTGATGCTTGTATAATGCAATACAACCTAACCAACAGTATTGTTTCAAATGATAATTTTTTTTCTGATTGAATATACTTGTATAATAATAATAGGCAATAGCATTTTATTTGTGTTTATTTGATACTCTTTAAATTAGTGTTTAATCTTAATTCATCTTAAAAATTTAAGTAAACTAGAACAAAATAAATATCAGCTGTTTAATACATTTTAATATTTTATTTTATGTACTTTGTAATGAAATAAGCTAATAATCTGTTCACACATTTTAGATAATATTATTAATACTTATAGTAGTACGAATTGAAAATAATATACTCTTTGAAATATTTGGATATTATAAAAGACCCGTATCATATTATTTTGAATTAACAAAGTAAATTTTATTGATTCTAGCAGTTGAAATAAAAATATCGAACCACCAATACGATAAGTTTACGGATTATTTAACGGAATTGTATTGTTTGGGTTAATTATAACTCTTTGTATAGGTCACTCTTTTGTTGAACTATTTACAGTATGAACTATCTAAATATTAAAATAGGCTCGGTTATCCGATATCTGAAATCAAAGTGGTTAAAACTAAAACTGTTCTTCGTAAATTGAAAACCCAATACCTATCTCAATTTCATCTTGAGAATATCAACAACGGCACTAGGTGGAATAGTGAATATAGTTACATTATGCTTTGCTATAAATCATATGAGTAGACCAGATATCTTAAATTATAGTACAAATAATACTGTGTGCTGATAGTATGAAATATTAATGAAATATTATTAATTTTTTTACTAATACTCGTATTTGTAACGGATTTAATATTATCTTATATTTTTATTTAAATAGGTGATAAATATACGGTGTCCCTAAATTCTATGTTATTATTGTTATAAATATATTGTAATTTTGAATAATTCTATTTTTAGCCATCAGTGATAGATGACTGATCTATAATACACATGGGTGGAACGTGAAAAAAAAATGTTTCAGAACTTCTAACGTAGAAAATGAAGTTAGTTTTTTTTTTTCTCATTGAGATAGACGAACATAATCGTAGCTTTATTTTGAGATTCAAAACTTTAATTATTTTTGAAAATAATTTATAAAGCAGTAACTATTTTTCGTTTAATTTTAAGTATTTAGTATCTATTATTATTGAGAATTTCTATCAATTGTATTTTAGGGCATAATATTTTAAAAAGTTTGTTTTTTTAATTTACAAAGTTAATTAAATTATATTATTTTGAATGTAAAAAAAACGTATGTTTGATTCAATTTTATTACGGTGATATTTTATAATATAGTAAATAATTGTTTTTTTTTTATTATGATTATAACTATTTAGTTTGGTTAAAAATACAATGTAAAAAAAAAAAAAAAATGTCAGCTCTTTAGATTTGACAACAATTTATTATAGGCACTTAATACTTAAATCAAACTACATCTAAATTATTTAAAAAAATCAAACACTTGTCATTGTAATGATAATGAAATTTCATGAAGATATTATTGTAAAATAATATATTATTTATAAATTTATTTTTAAAATATTTGTATATTTTATAGTTTTTAACTTAAAAATTTTCCAAAAATTAATTTATTGTTATCTGTTTTTTTGTTTAAAGTTATTTTTTTGAATGCAATAATTTAATATAATTTTACTATGAGATGGATTGTGGATCAATTAATTATGTATGACTTATATAATATATTAAAGATATCCAATACACAAATATAAGTAACTATTTAAATATACAATTTATGTAGTTCAGTTTTCTTATGACTGTTGAATAACAAGTTAAACGTTAAGTTTAAAATGAAAACATTTCTGACTTATACTAAGAAATATTTCTGGTAAATATTTGTTGTACCTCTTTGAGATATTATATTGTAATACTTAAAGTTTACGAAAATTGGAAATTAGTACGTATTGACTGTATAAGGTAAGAATAAGGAAAGTTTTCTAAAAGTCTTAACTTATTTTTATTTTGTTGGGTTTTCTGAAAGTATATTGAAAAATAATTATCAAAGTTAATAAAAATTAATTTTATTCATTTCAAAATAATATAAATATTGAACACAACTTTAATGATTATTAATTTTTATAAAAAAAAAGATTTTTAAGACTATTCGAGTATAAAAATTACAACTAATCTATTCTTATTGAGCTTAAACAGAAACGGTAATTTTTTATAATATATATGACATATGTATATAGAATATCATACATTGTTATATTGTGATAGATAGTTATTAAATATCATTGGTATCTATGTATCAAGTGATTATACTCGATAAAATAGGAATTAAATACAACATTCATGACCGATTGTATTAATTTTTATTAACATTAATAGGATAAATTTGTCATGAAATTTAGATGTACAATTATTGCTATTCAACGAACGAAATTATAACAGAAAACACAATTTAAAACGTTAAAAGATAATATATATATGTATATATATTTTTACCTCAGATGGCTTATTGTATCGTTTACAGTTAGTACACGGTTCCCCGACGTGTACGTACTGAAATTGCCTATTCGCCGTGCCGCGCCGGTTAGTAAATATAAGCGAAGAAAAACCGTTTTGCGTACGATATTTATTATAATTTTAATGAACTGTGAGGTCACTTTGTTCTGCACTGTTAATCCATTAAGAAGGTTTTATACTACAGGTATTTCTATGGTGTAGAAATATATTCGTAGAATTATTATGTTAATTTTTCAGGAAAAAGGTTGTTTTTCGTTTTGCATTATCGTGCAACGTTAAGTAAAAAAATAAAGAGAAAAAGGCGTTATTTTAAATACTAAAAATGTATGTTATGATTGAAATACATATTATTTTATGCAAACAAATACTATTTCGATAAATTATTCATCAATGAAATGTCAGAATATGTGTTTTACTAGATTTACAGCCTTACCTATTACTGCGACTTATCCAAAATCGTATCGAATTTCAAATGTTTATATTATAGTAACCTACATTATTTAATTTTTCATTCTAAATTCTAGACACGTAATTTGAAACGCATTTATGTATTTCAAACTATTTTTTTTATCTACATTTTTATCCGATAATGATAATCGCTTATTGCGACGATTAACAATTTTACGAATGCAGCGATTTTTTATGGGTAAAAAATATTACAATATTATTATAAGAAGTAATTCACCTAAAATATTCAATTATTTATTTAATATTTAGTTAAATTCTAATGTTTGGATTAGCCGATAGTTTTTTTTTTTTTAATTTTATTTATTTATTGAATTAAAAAAAAAAAAAAAATCAAACCATTAGTTTTTTAGCAACTAAAATATTTATGCTGAGGATAAAAGTCTTTGAAAATGATTTTTTCAAAATATTAAATATACGTAATATTAGATCAGTTGTTTAATTTTCATGAATTGTTTAACAAAAAAATTATATTTGTTGATTGATTAATAATTACTATTAATTGCTAAAAGTTTAGTCATTAAATTATGTTCATACTTTCCAAAACTATAATATTAGATCTATCAATAGTAGCATAGAACACAATGTTAAATAATTTAAAAACTACTTATTCGAATTTTGATTTTGACATACCTATTAACATTTTTAGAAAAAAAGGATTCTCATTTAAAAACAGAAATTTATTTCACTACGAGCCATTTATTAAATAGTTCAATTTATCTCGAGAATTTGAAAATATAATCTCACGATATATTTAAAATTTCAAGAAATATTATTTTGAATAACTGCAATATTTTCGAAAAAAGGTGGTGAGCATGCTTAGTGAATCATTCTGTACATCATAGTTATAAGTTATAACATAGTTTATTCAAATTGTTAAACATAATTCATAGTATATTATACGGGCGTATACGGAATCAACGGTAATGGCGCAAAGGCCAGTTAGTGTTTGTAAGTAATACTAATACATGTTTCAAACCAAAGTTAAGAGTCACTGTTAAACGTATTCAAATAGAGATTAGATATAATATTATTATATTTTAAGCAATAAGCTATAGTTGTAAGCTACAGCTTACATTACTCTCAGAAAAATGGTATTCGTATACACTTGACTTTTCGGCTGTCCCGAAACTTTGGCATAGGGTCCCTGGACAGGTGGCAGCGCCACTAACGGGTATCCAGATACAAAGCGCGTGTTATATTACGCAATGTAGTCTTCAAGCAGTCGTTGTAGAACCGTCGTCACTGGTGTATCGCTTGAACCTGTATATTGCGTTATCGGTCGCGCCAAGTGTAGTTTTGAGTCATCATAATATACAAGAATTATTATTATTTTAATTCCTATCATTCTACTTTGGGTAAGTAATTGCTATTAATTATAAAGTATTATTATTATTTTTGTTGAAGAAATATGTAAAACCCAGTCATATTAGTATATCGTAGTATAAATAACAAAGTATTCATGGAATTTCTATACACAATTTGACGTCGTTGAGTGGAAATATAGCATAATTTGTGTTTGCAAATATTAGAATTTTTAAGTGTACTTATATGATAGTTTAAACTATTTTATTAATAAAGAGTTCTTAAATTTTATGTTAATACAAAATTAGTTTTCTCTAACCGACTTTTTGATCCCTAAAAACCTTAAAATGTATGATACTATAAGACTAAAGTTAGGTCTTAAAATCTCAAAATTTTGTCATATAAAAATTCTGGTCATGAGAAATAATAGCAATCTTGCATTGTATTTGTTATTACAATACATTTAAGATTAAATGAGTTAACTTTCGTTAGTATATTATTTTGAAAAACTTATGAAAGGTTTTTGATTCTATTAATTAACATAGGATCATTTTAAAATCATCTACAAAAAACTTTTAGACATAATATGCATGCATATAAAATTATCTGATTCACATTTATGATATTAACTAAGTATAATCTTAATGTACTATTTATAACGAATTTTAAGTATATTAAATAAAAAATAAATAATTGTTCATTAAATTAGTAATAAGTTAAGTAAAATTAAATATCTTTGTCGATCTTAACTAATTATAGATACCATCGTCAAGTTTTATATAGAGATATTTCGTAAACTTTCAAAGAGAGTTTTTCACAGTTGGTTTGAATTTCCATAAAATTAAAAGTTTTTCAAATAAGCATTTAACAACAATTTAATAGATAATAAAATAATATATTAAATTGTAATATACAGTAATACGTAAACTATTAAATGATAAGCTTAAGAATAATTCAATTACATATTATGTAAAAATTAAATAAACATATACCTATAATATATCAAGAGTGACTCAACCCCTTTTTAGTAAAAATAATAATAAATTATAATATATTTTTTGGTGATCGGCTGTATATTTATATAAAATTGATCTATACAAAACAGAATTGCAATAATTATATTCAACATCGACGAGTGCGATAATAGTTCTATTTTTAAATATAATAGATATACGTACATTAATACATTAAAATAAATTATTTAGGATTAAACTTGAAATATTATGCTATTGACCATTTGATCAACTAATGTGTTAGATTTGAATTCAATGGTAAATTATTGTAAATAAAAACGGTTCTTAGTAAAAATTGGAAACACAATCTCTTTATAAATCTCTTTATAAAAGTATTATTCATTTAATTTTCTATTATTAGTTTGAAATGTTAAATTTATTTTTGACACGAATAACACATAATATATTGTTATTTATTCTAATACTTTAAGTATTATACATTATTGCTATTGAATTGTAAGGAAATACCACAGATGTACATAACAATGTTGTGTATAGAATCGTGGTATGATAGCTTGAAATTAATCTAAATATTTTGAAATTTAAATTGCGTCAAAAAAAAAAAAAAAAAAAAAATAATAATAATAATAACAATAATAAATAAATATATTATACATAATGATAAAATGTTTCAATTAAAACAAAGTAATTAAATAATTAGATACAATTAATTACTCAATTTCATCAAAATTTAAACATTTATAAAAGAAAACCCTATGTTTTTTTAAGTTGCCGTTTTAAAAATCTTTTACCGAGTATTAGCATTTATAAATTATTTTTTTTTGTAAAAAAAAAAAAGTTTATTGTGTATAAAGAAATGTTAATTTAAGTAGAGATGAAAAGTATCAAGTTTCTTTAATTAATATTTATAGAAAAACTACAAAACTAGAAAAATGTTTTAGGAGATATTAATACATTACGCTTAAATATTCAAGTTTGTTAATTTTTTTTTTTTTTTGACTATTTTGAGTAATGTATGCAAATATTCCATTATGTTGTCAATTTTAAACTATTTTTTGTGGTTATTTGGGCTTTTTAAAAGCGAAAAAACATACAAACACAGATCATTGTAAAAGTGTAAAACGAATGTAATCATCCGTTAAGCAGGTATCTAAAAGACGATTTATTATATAATGGTGGTTAATCTAGCTAATTTATTGAAATTTAAGTTAATTATAAAATTAATTTAATAGTAAGTTAAAAAGTTTTTAAAAAATTAACATTTTACTGGTTTATGTCCGCCTTTGGCATAATGTTTTATTTTTAATTTTAATAACTATCATATAATAAATACTATTTTTAAGCTGAAAAAAATATAATGTTGATAAAAAAGTTATTGATTTATATATTTTTCATTTTGAGTGAAGTGATGAATGTATTTATTTTATATGATGTAACTATGTAAGTTATTTTTGTTTGTATAAACAAATTAATAGTAAAAAAAAATATTTCGATTTTTAATTTTAAATATGATTTCTGGTAGGGAATTGGTTTTAATTGATAATGTTGATGTAAAAATGGAATATTCTTCCTATACTTTTTAAAATAATCAAAAAAACCAAAAAAAAAAATTACCCAAAACAAGTTTTTTAACAAAATTGATTATACTTATTTTGGTATAATTTAAAAATGAATAATCATAGGCACTTTAAATTTTCACCAAATGTTAACCCGTCATTGGTATCGTGTTGAGCGCGGCGCTCACCTTGTTAGTATATTGAGAACCATTTGTTTATTTATTACTTGATTCATTTGATACTATTTATACCTTCAATCGACACATGTCTAAATATACTTTTGTAAATATAATAATTTTATAGATATTTCTTAATTAGATATCAACATGCAATGTTATTAGTATCCATAAAGTGAACGTTGCGCTCACTCAATAGTATCAACATAATATTTTTTCGTAAACGCGTGCGTATAGTATATTTTTGTTTTATTTGTTTTTTCATGTTTTTATTCTAAAATGTCCGAAAATGTGACTTTGTGGCTTAAAAATTCGGAAGAAATTGATTATTTAGATGATTCGAATGATACAAATGTTGATCCCGATTATGTGGACTGTGCTAATGAACATATTGAAAATTAATTTGATGACTCTGACGATGATTTTTCTGAGTCAAATAAAAGTATTAGTAAGAGATCAATAATTATTCCGCGATTACGTTCTGATCACATCACTTTGAAATAATCATTCCTTTTATCTGTTTCCTATTTCCAAGTGTATCTAGTGAATCGTTAATAAATTTAAAAAAATAATATTATATTTCTTGAGAGTTGTAAAATAATTTTTATCTCATTAAAAATTGGATCAAATTATTGTAAAAAGCTACATAGTTTAGTTTTATAAAAAATTCTTTGATTACGTATTCATGATAGGTAAAACGTATGTATTTAATCTAATTTATCTAATTATATTTGTATTCAAATATTTACAAATTAATATTATTTTTAACTTAAAAAAAATATATTTTTTTGTTTCTTAGTTTCTACATGAATCATATAAGTCTACTTATGAATTTTTAAATTAAATTAATGATACAATCATATATTTCAATATTACATATAACTATATAATACCTACTAATTAATTATTTTATTTTAATTTTCTAATTTTAAATTTATATATTTTACACTTAATTATGTTTTTATTTAAACTATACTATAATTTAAATTTCCGTAAAGTTGTTATATAAACAAATTTAGTAGTACATTATTCAAACTAAAAAAAAAAAAAAAAAAAAAAATACATAATACTTTTTATAGAATAAAAATTACATTATATCAATATATTGATAATATATAATGATTTTTTAGTACCTTTTATATTTCCTATCTAATTGTATACATTTATAATAGGTACCTAACTATAATCTTAGTAAAATTCCTAATTTTTTAATCACATACTTTTATTATTATGATCAGTTTCTGCACTTGTTAAAAGTAGCTCTGTATAATTTAATAAAGTATATATTTTTTTATATTTATGTAATTAAAAGTTAGATACGATAAAGAAGATAGTGACTAGAATAATGTGTTCAAAATTTTCTCATATTTATATAGGATTTATTTATTAATTATTATTAAGAATACACCCAATTAATTGAGCCTAGAACAATAATTATTTTCCAAAAATTTACAAACCAAAATTAAACACATTACAACATATGCTTGGCTAAAACTTACATTTAATAGGTATCGTTAAAACTAAATAAATGATTTTAACCTAGATAAATTGTCATTAAAAAAAGTCAAAATTATTTATTGAAATACCTGTAATCAACATTATATTAATTGGAGCGGATAGACTATAATTAAAACGATTAGTAGGTGTATAGAACATATTATTATAATACAGGATTGTATAGCTATTTATTATATTATTTTATAAATTTTATTAAAAAGAAAAATTGTTTTAAACGGACGTCAATTAAATCCACACTATAAAATATCTTAGACATTTTTCATCAGTTTTTTAAAGTTTCTTTAAAATTTTTTAGATATTGTTAGAAAAGTTGAAAATTGACCTTATTTTAGCCTAACTCATTCTCGATAATTGATCTTAAAAGATGCTACATAAATTTATTAAGTGTATCTTATTCACTGATTCAAGTCGTTTGCCGAGAAAAATAAAAATTAATAATAATAATAAAAAAACCAATTCATGATTTTTTTTTTCATTCGCAATCTAAAAATACAGTATAAATCGTACTTCAATGTTCAAAAATAATTGTAAATAACAGCACGACGAACGAAAATTTATCTTTTTCAGATTAAGTCAGTAATATACGAGTATTTTACAGTGATGATTCGAATAGTTGATCCTTTTTTTTAAATAAAAACATACGGATTAACAATAATTTCACAATAATAAATATTTTCAATCTATTTGTTTTGAATTTTAACAAGCAACGCTTCAACTAACAAAGTGATTAAAGTATTGAATAATTATGGGCTACCAGATATCATGCATTTATAAATATAAATTAAATATTGCCTTTGTAATTCTTTAACATAGTTTGAAAACAATTAAA